CTTACAAGCAGCTCCGTTACTACAATTTGTGTTGAAACTGACCTTTCAGACATTGGACCCATTGGTCCTGGGTCTAGCCTTATGGCACACTGAGAACTCATTCATTTAGCACCTCCTGAGTGCCCACTCTCTGCCAGGCACTCTGCTAGGTCCTGGAGATGCTGCGATGAGGGAGGCACAGGCCAGTCCTCACGTAGTTCGGTCTTGTGGGAGAGATAGACAAGCCACTGGTTATAACACATTGTTATGCAGAGAGAAGCTATGCAAGCTGCCTGCCTGGCTCCTGTACTTCAGAGCCATGTGACCTCTGTGGGCCTCAGTTTCCTCATCTGTAAAATGGGATACTAACATCACAGACCTAACATCTCATAGGGTTGCTGTGAGAATGAACTGAGATAATGAAGGTAAAGCACAAAGTATGTGCTCAATAAAGGTTAGCTTGGCTTATTACTACTCCAGTGCACACGGAGGCTGTGAGGCAGAGAGGAGGGAGCCACCTCTAGAGGGATCAGGAAGGCTTCCTAGAAGAGGTGATGTCTGAGCTTAGATATTAAGATCAAGTAGGATTCCTTGGGCTGCCAGGCAGTGGAGGGGTGCTCCAGGCTGAGGGAGAAGGACATGCAGAGAGGGAACTGCTGAGGCTAATGAGGATTGAGTGGTGTAGTTCATTCAGCAGGCTCTTTTTTTCTGGGTCCTCTGAAGCCTTAACCTCAGGCATTTTCAATCCCTTAAGACAGCGGTTCTCAACCTGTGGGGATCGCAACCGCTTTGGGGGTCGAACGACCCTTTCACAGGGTTTGCCTAAGACCATCGGAAAACACGTGTATAATTACATATTGTTTTTGTGATCAGTCACTATGCTTTAATTATGTTCAATTTGTAACAATGAAATTGGGGGTCACCACAACATGAGGAACTGTATTAAAGGGTGGCGGCATTAGGAAGGTTGAGAACCACTGCCTTAAGGCTTCATTGGGGAGTGGGGAGGTGGCTATAGCTGTCTGGTGCTGCCCCTTTTAATGAGGTGGAGGGTGTTCTGTTGTTTAACTTGTGGCTTCTTCCAGGGAAAGCCTGGCGGACACCTTAGCACTGGAGGGAGAGGGCTGGGGTCTCTGGGAGACCCCCAGCAGCAGCTCTGAGTAGTTCAAACAACCAGGGCCCAGAGTTAGCACCTTGATTCTAGTTCCAGCTCTGCCCAACTCTCGCTGAGACCCCGAGCTCCTCTGAGTCTGAGACTCAGTCTCCCCATCTGTTCAATGAGAGTTGGTGAAGGGACTAAGACTCCCAGCACTGCTTCTTGAAGGCTCAGACCCAGGACCAGCTAGGCTGGAGCGGAGGAGGATCCTGGGACCTCTGGGCCCGATCCATCAGTCCTACTCCTAGCAGGCCTGTGCGCCCGAGTCCTGCCCGCCCGCCACCCCTTCCCTCCCAGCAGCTAGGTCGTGGGCACTTCCCTGGGTGGGCTGTGGCCGCCCCCTGCCCCACAGGCACACACAGCCCGACTGTGGCCCTGGAGCTGGGGGAGGAGGTGGGAGGAACAGAGGAGGCCTGTCCTCTGGGCGAGAAGGCCTCTGGCAGCAGCTTCCTGTGCGGTTCCAGGCTGGGGGCCCAGCCCACCTCGGGACAGAGGAGCCTTTCATGGGGCTGGTTCTCAGGAAGGGGGGCAGTATGGGAGCCACTCAGGTGAGGGCTGCCTGAGAGTCTGCGCGGGGCAGAGCCGTGGGAGGGCTAACACGTGTATGTCCAAGTCAGACTGGGCCTTGGAAAGTCAGGCACCACTGCCTCCCATTTTGCAAATGAGGAAACTGAGGCCCAGAGAAGAGAAGGGAGGTGACCAAGACCAGCCAGGGCAGAGGGGGAGCTAGAACCCTGGGCTTCAGGTGTGGGCGAGGGGTGAGTGTGTCCCTGGCGAGTGTGCGAGTGTGCGTCAGTGTGTAGCTGAGTGTTTGTTAGCCTATGAGAGCATGTGTTGGTTCATGGTGAATTTGGGAGTGTTGGTGTGGGGCTGGGTGTCCTGAGGGAGCCAGGTGGGGGAAGGGCAGTTGTCTCAGGCCTCCTGTGCCTCCTTAGGACCCACCCTGGGGCAGCGCTGCCCAATGCCACCTTCTGCCTCATCCCCGGCCGCCGTGCTGATGCCTTGCGCTTCCTCCAAGCCCTGCAGGTACGACCCCAACTTGGGCATTCCCCATCTCTTCCCCCCACACTCCTGAGCCGCCTGGGTCTCTGGGCCCCGGGCCAATGGTAGGAGAGGTGAGCTGCTCTTTACTCTGGGGCTCAGGTGTGCCTGTGTCCATAGTCATCTCACCCTCTGCACAGCACCCACACTCCCCAAAAAACACTTTTCTCCTCTTTGCTTCTTGCCCCCAATAGCAGCAGCTGCTGACTTGGAACTGGGAGGTGGGTGAGGGTGTGCAGGGTGGGGCTGGGCCCGCCAGTGACACCCCTGCCCCCCAGGCTGGCTGTGTCCCTGTGCTTCTCAGCCCTCGCTGGGAGCTGCCCTTCTCGGAGGTCATCGACTGGACCAAGGCGGCCATCGTAGCAGACGAGAGGCTCCCACTGCAGGTAGCTGAGGGCCCTGCCCATGGGGTGGGGACTGGGCCCCGGACATGGGAGGGACCCCAGGATGCCAGCCCCCAGGCTAGCCTCCGTCCTCATCTAATGTGATATACTGACGATCCCGCCCCCCCCCCCCCCCAATCAGGCCTCTGGGATTCCATAGGATCAGAAGGAGGCAGACTCCTGAGGGTTCTGAGAGCAAGTCCTGAGCAGCTGTCTGCCTCAGTTTCCCCATATGTACAATGGGATAAGTTAGACCAGGTGATTTCCATGGGCTCAGCCCCACTGGTCCATGACTATTTAAATACCCAATTTAAGGGAAGACCGCATGCATGCACACACACACACACACACACACACACTCACACACACACATCAGAATTGGAGCGCCTCCATGTGGCTTTGGGTGGCAAAGGAAAAGACAGTGACTTTTCCATCGGGTGAAGCTAATTTTGCCCAGCTCTGAAAAACACGCGTGAGCCTTGAATCTGCTGAGAAGTGAGAATGATGTAGAGAGTTAATAACATCTACTCTTCACTGAGCCTCTGCTTTGTGCTGATTTAATCCTCACAACCACCCTGTGAGGCAGGTACAGTATCCTCCCCACTTTATAGCTGAGGAAATAGACTCCGAGAGGTTAAGTAACGTGTCCACCGTCAGTTACTAAATGGCATGTACACTCAGCTCTCTGTGACCCTTGAACTCCGTATGCGGTTACCGGGGACTTGACCACGGGTGGCCGTGGCTAACGGGAGACCCACGGAGAGGGGCTCTGGTTCCCAGACCTCCACCGCAGGCTGTCCCCACCCGAGGGTCAGTCAGGGCCTGACGAGGCCGCATGCCTGCTCCTTTGCTCCCTCTGTGGCCCAGGTGCTGGCTGCCCTCCGGGAGATGCCCCCCACGCGGGTCCTCGCCCTGCGCCAGCAGACCCAGTTTCTGTGGGACACCTACTTCTCCTCAGTGGAGAAGGTCATCCGTACCACTCTCGAGGTAAGGGGGACTCCCTGGTGGGGGCTCCTGCCTCGCCCCTCTCCGGGCACCTCCTCTGCCTTGTCCGGGCTTCCCCCTTAAAGACGCTCCTGGGATGAAGCTGGGACTGGAGCTCTTGGATACGTTCCTCCCCGATGTTGGCCTCAGTTTCCCCATCTGTACAGGGACAGCTGTGGCATGTACCAACTCCCGCTGATAGGTCCTGGCTGCTGGGTACTGTGTTGGGAGGGGTTCTGGGGTTGGAGAGAATGGCAGGAGCTGTTAGTGATGTCGGTCATGGGTGAGGAAGGAGAGGGAGGCAAGCTCGCCGACATCTGCCAACTGTGGACACCATCCCCGAGTGCCCCCTACTCTGGACCTCTGCATCTGAACCCTCCTGTCCCCAGGGATCAGGTGATGCAACTGCCACCCCCACCCTCAGCCTTAGGGGGGGGGGCGGGGAGGAGAGGGAAGGCCAGGTCCTCACTTCCTCAGACCCCACCCCTGCCGCCCTGGCCACGCCCTCTGCAGAGCCTGCGTTCATTCTGCAGATCATTCAGGACCGGATCCTCGGAGCATCCGCTCACCCATCGCTGTTGTGGAACAGCCCCCCAGGGGCACTCCTGGCCCTGCCCGCGTTCTCCACGAGTCCCCGGGACTTCCCCTTCTATCACCTACAGCAGGGTAGGTCCTGGGGGCGGGACAACCTGAAGTCCCGTCATCAACTCTCCCCCAGTTCCTCCCAGTCTCAACCACAGAGCCCCACCAGGGCCCTCCCCAGGTCCCTAGCATCTCCTGGCTCCCAGGGTCCCCAACCCAGGTCACTCTCCCACCCTAATAGCCTGTGTCCTTCCCCAGGCTCTCGCCCTGCAGGCAGGTTCAGCGCCCTCATCTGGGTGGGGGCCGCAGGCCAGCCCCCCCTGAAGCTCATCCAGGCAGTGGCAGGCTCCCAGCACTGTGCCCAGGTCTGCCCCCTTGCCAGCTGGGGTCCTGGGATCCAGGGTGGGGGGAAAGGGCAGGGCCCTTGATGATACCTAGACCCCAAAGATAACCACCATTTTGGGGAGAGGAGGCACGGGGAGGACTTTCAAGTGCCCTTACTGCCTTTTTCTGTACGTCCCAAGTTTCTTTTTTTTTTCTTTTTTTTTTTTTTTAGTTTTTATTGGTTTTGAGAGAGAGAGGAAGGTAGGGAGAGACAGAAACATCAATGATGAGAATCATCGATCAATGGGCTGCCTCCAGCACCCCCCTCCCTACTGGGGATCGAGCTCACAACCTGGGCATGTACCCTGATGGGGATTCAAACTGGTGGCCTTTTGGTTCATGGGTCGATGCTCAACCACTGAGCCACACCGCCAGGCAAGTCCCAGGCCTCTTACACTTTCCCCCCACCCTCTTTTCTACCTCCCCATGGAAATTGATGACTTTATCTAAAAAGAGGTACCTCTTGAGGAGGCTGGAGAAATAAACACACCTGTGTTCACTCATTTATTCACCCAGCAGTCACTTTCTGAGCACCAGGCCCTGGACTTGATGCTGAGGATACAGAGAAAAAGCAGGAAAGGGTTCTGCCCTGAGGTTCAGATTCACTTAGCATTTCCTAGTACACACACTGTCGAATGTCACTTCCAGAGAAGCCAGATAAACTCCCTAAAGTACTTGCAGAGCAGGGAAGCCAGAGCTCAGCCAGGGCAGATGGAGTGGCAACAAAGAGGGGACAGTGAGCTGGGCTGGGAATGATAATGGAGCAGGACAATGAAAATCTCCGAGAAGATGGGGGTGGGAATGGGGTCAGGACCCCGGCCAGGGGCTACCACCGCCTGAGTTCTAATGCCACAGGCAGCTACCTCCATGTCACGGGAATTCCTGCCCTCCAGAAGCCCAGAGGCAAGAACAGGGCAGTAACAAGACCTTGGCTGCAACTAAGCTCTTCCCAAACTCACATATTCCTTCCATCCTGAGAAAGGTGGCTCCTGGGACCTTACTGCCCCGGACTTCAGTAACACCCCCCTTTCCGCCTAGATCTTGGTTCTCTGGAGCAATGACAAGCCACCCCCACCCAGTTGGCCTGAGACAGCAGTGCCCTTGCTAGTCATCGAGGGGCACAGGAAGGTACAGGATGGGGAGGGGCACGGAAGAGGTGGGCTCACCCAGCAGGAAGGCTGGGAACTGGGGGAGGCTGGACTTCATGTTGGGCCTGAAGAAATCAGACAGGAGGTTTTGGCTACAGACCTAACAGGCATGATTCTCTTCCATCCCTGGCCTTGTGAATTGTGCTTGCAGAGAACTGGGGTTTTATGAGTTGGGAGTATGCTGGATGTTTCAGATGGGGGATAGAGGAGAAGCCTGGGGTCCCAAGGAAACAGCCAGATGGCAGCAAATGGGCCAGAGCGGGTGAACCTGGGATGGTCTGAGTCACCTGCTTGCCGTGTGGTTCTGGGCAAGTCCCTTCATCTCTGGACCTGTTTCTTTCAAACAAAGGAGGTTTGACAACCCCCGGAGTTGAGGCCAGCCTCCAATGAGACAAGGGAGGAATCCTGAGATGTCCAAACTGACAGGGCCCCCAGACACCACTGTCCCCAAAGAGAAAACTGAACTCCAGAGGTGAAAGGAGTCCCAGGTCCGAGTGCTGCGCAGGCTTGCTGTTTTCACTGCCCATCCTTCACACCCCGCCCGCCCCGCCCCTGCAGGTCAGCGACCGCTTCCTCCCGTACAGTGCCATCAGCACCGACGCCATCCTCAGCCTTGATGCCCACAGCAGCCTTTCCACCAGCGAGGTGAGGACTGGGCCCCAGAGGAGCCCAGTGTGGGTGGGGACGGAGCCAGAGGGCCCTGGTGGCTCCTCGGATTCCCTGAGCAGGGAGGGCCAGATGTCAAGAGGCCCAGCCTTTTGCTTTGAAACCACCCCAGCAAGCCACTCAGCCTCCACCTTAGAAACCAAATAGCTTTCCACAGACTCTTTCAAAAACATTGTTTTCAGCTCCCAGCTGAAAAAGTTCCCCTCGCCCCCACCCCCACCCCACCCCCCATCAGCCAGGCTGGCTTTGCCTCCATCTCTCTGGATGTTCCTGCTCACGCCTCACTCACCTATCTCCCAGGTGGACTTTGCTTTCGTGGTGTGGCAGAGCTTCCCGGAGCGGATGGTGGGCTTTCTGACATGGAGCCACTTCTGGGATGAGGCCCAGGGGCGCTGGGGCTATACCGCTGAGAGGGCCAACGAATTCTCCATGGTCCTCACCTCGGCGGCCTTCTACCACAGGTACAGGCGGTAGTCCAGGCACCGGGATCAGAGGCTCTTTACACCAGGAGCAGGGGGGCATGGGAGTGAACACAGCAGTCAGCCTGGAGCCCAGGGATCCAGGTTCAAGGCCCAGATCTGCCATGTCCCAGCTGCGTGATGGGCGAGTCTCTTCACATCTCTTTTTAAAATATATTTTTATTGATTTCAGACAGGAAGGGAGAGGGAGAGAGAGAGAAACATCAGTGATGAGAGAGCATCATTGATCGCCTGCCTCCTACACTCCCCCCTCTGGGGATCGAGTTCGCAACCCAGGCATGTGCCCTTGACTGGAACCAAACCCAGGACCCTTCAGTCCGCAGGCCGACGCTCTATCTACTGAGCCAAACGGGCCAGGGTCTCCTCACTTCTCTTGAGGTTCAGCTTTCTCATCTCTATAATGTATTCACCTCACAGGGCTGCTGTGATAATCACTTGATAAAAGAAATTTTAATAAATTTTTTACCAAGTGTGTGTGATGAGCTGGGGAACTGCACTGGCGCCCAGTCTTGGGGCAGGGACTGAACTCGGAAGGGCTTCTTTAGAGGAGCTCCTGACCGTGTTTAAACCAAACATGGAACGTCTTGCGGGGGATTCTCAGGAAGTGAATATTCCTAATGTCTGTAGGGCCGGTAGGTCCCGGGAGCGTGGGAGGGCTCATCTGGAGCCGCCTCAGCCTAGTTGTCCACATCCTTCCAGAAGCTGGCTTTGGGCTCCCATGTTGAGGGCCTTGGAATTAGCTGACCCCCCCCAATTTGGCTGAGTTCATTCCTGGGGTGGGGGCCCAGGGAGCTGGGAGGGAGGGGCAGGAACTACCTACACCACTGGCTGCAGACCAGCCACAGAGCACAGACAGTGGAGAGCGGCTGGTACTGGGGGCGGGGCCTCTGCAGGGGCCAGGGCTCGGGAAGGGAGCGGGGGTTTAGCCAGAGGTGGGGAGACTGGGGTCAAAGGGAGAGTGACGTCAGGACGGGGAACACAGAATCGGGGCGGTGGCCTCGGCTCCAGCCTCTCCCTGCCTCCCCCCGCGCCCAGGTACTACCACACCCTCTTCACCCACTCCCTGCCCACGGCTCTGAGGCGCCTGGCGGAGGCTGCACCCCCCTGTGTGGACGTCCTGATGAACTTCCTGGTGGCAGCAGCCACCAAGCTGCCCCCCATCAAGGTGCCCTATCGGAGGCGGCACGAGGACGCCAGCCCACCGCGGGTGAGGATGGAGGGGGCCGGTCGGCACCGGGGGGAGACGGGAGGGAGGGCTCCCTCTCACCGGCCAACGCGAACTCTTTCTGCTGCGGGGTGCGGGGTGCGGAGGGGAGGCTGGGTCCGAGACGGGAAACTCCGACGCATTTCTCCTCCCCATCTTAGGTGCCTGGGGACCTGGGGCCCGCAGCCCGGGACTGCATCGACCGGGTGGCGGCGGGGTTCGGCCACATGCCCCTGGTGTCCTCTCGCCTCCGTCTGGACCCAGTGCTCTTTAAGGACCCGGTGTCTGTGCTGCGCAAGAAGTACCGGGGCCTGGAGAAGCCCTAAGGAGGGCGCACCGGACCCGCCCTGACCAATCAGGGCGCCCAGTGGCCAAACGTCAGCCCCCGATTGGCCTATCATAGAGCTGGAGACATCCAGGGACCCAATCAGGGCGCCCAGTGGCCAAACGTCAGCCCCCGATTGGCCTATCATAGAGCCGGGGGCGGGACCTCGGCCCACCCTCCAGCCGGCAGCCAGGTTCTGTTCGCAGGTGCAAGGCATTAGCTTGTTTTAGTGCCTTTGCCCAGCAGGCTCCTCTGCCGAGCTGACGTCTTGTCTTCAAATCCTCGCCTCCCCCGGGGTTTGTCCGACCCCCATCCCCTCTCCGGATCGGTTGGTGTCCTCTGCGCGTTCACAGCCCGGTGTGCCTTGCCGCGTACACCGCCAGCCCCTGGACGGTCTGGACGCCCCGGTCGTGTCCTCCTCTCTCTGGCCTTGCAGGTAGCGCTACGAATATTTGACGAACAGGTAACTGGAAGAGACATCAATTGCGGGCCTGCCCTGTGAGGACGGTGCCGGGAGTGTGGACAGGATGTGCCGAGTGAGAAGACAAAACTCCGTCCCCGTCCCTGTGGTGCCTAGTCCGGCGAGAAGGCCGCTATCCGCAGACGCCGGGGTTGCCAGGCGCAATCCTCGCGTCCCAGCGATGGAGCAAAGAGGCGCCGGGAAGCCAGTTTCTGGGCTTCTTTCCCGACCGGCGGAGCGAATGGGGAGGGGAAGAAAGGGACGAGAACGCAGGCGATCCGGCCCGGCCGGCCCGGGACCCTCGGCTGGAGCTCGGCCGTCGCCCTGCATTACCAGCTCTGACCACTAGAGGTCAGCGCCGCTCCGCGCTCCCTCCTCCGGGAAAGGGATGTAGTTCTCAGCACCCGTCTGGTCTGAGAGCGAGCCCGGGCACTAGGCGGCTTGGGGGTGCGCAGTCTGAACTCAGGGAGGGGGACCAGCTGGAAGAGTGGGCCTACGCTTTGGCCCACACACTTAGGACTAAGCAGGGCCATCTCTAGGTGGGAGCAGAAACTGGTGTGCCTGTAGGTGAACGTGCAGCGGGGAGGGGCCGCTGAGTTCTCCGGGATTCATCCACCTGGAACAGGAATTACCGCTTCCGAAATACAGCGCCTGTCCTTGCCCCCTCAAGCCGAGGCTATAAATACCCCTGCAGCAGCTGCACGAGGGAGGAGCCTGGGAGGGGGGCGGCTCTAGAGGGGTGGGGGCAATGGGTCCAGCCCAGGTCCAGGGTGTCAGGTGTTTTTCTGCTTTGATGGCCTCGCCGCTTTGGAAACTCCCGTGACTACCTCGCAGGCCAGAACATGCTGTCCCCCGGGGCCTCTCCAAGGCTTCCCAGCCCCACCCTCCAGCCTGAACTCTGCTCCCTGGGGCCAGTCACAGCTGGGGGTGCTGAGAAGGCTCTCCCTTGGAAGGCATGGGGCTGCTAGATTCTTGAGGTGGAGGGGGAACTGGGAGTGAGGCAGCCTGGCCCAGGATCAAGATCAGCTGGGAGTGGGAGAGGGCGCACACAGCTGCAGCCCAGGCAGCCTTCCCAGGGTGGAGGGCTCGGGGTGCCAGGCCAGCCAGGGGAAAGAGTCACCTTTCTCCACCCCAATCACAGCTGCGGCAACCAAAACACTGAACTGCCTTGGCATAGCTTGCCCGTGGGGAGGGCACCGCAAGGCCCAAGGACTCACACTGTAACAACATGCAGCTCAGAGCAGGTCCCCAGCCCCTGCTGTAGGGAGAGGCCTAGGGGAATGAGGCAGAAACCCCAGACCTGCCTCACACTGGCTGTGTGACTTAAGGCAAGTGACTCAACCTCTCTGAGTTTTCTCATCTGTAAAAATGAAGAATCCTGCCCAGCCGGAGTGGCTCAGTGGTTGAGTGTCGACCAATGAACCAGGAGGTCTCGGTTCGATTCCCAGTCAGGACACATGCCCAGGTTGTGGGCTTGATCCCCTGTGTGGGGTGTGCAGGAGGCAGCCGATCAATGATTCTCTCTCATCATTGATGTTTCTATCTCTCCCTCTCTGAAATCAATGAAAACATATTTTAAAAAATATATAAAATAAAAAATGGAGCATCACAATGACTGTCTTGAGAGAGGTGTAAGGACTTGCCATAGAGCAAAGCTCAGGATCCAGGTTGCTGGGGCTGTTGCTGAGAGGGAAGGGGGTCTTGATTCCCCAGAGGCCAGGGTTGATTCCCCAGAGGCCAGGTCCTTCCCCCCCCCCAATTCCAAAACCAACACAAAGTGACTCCCCGCTGATTTCAAGGGCAGAAGAACCCACTGGCCTAGGTCACGGGCCACCCTGGATGCCAGTGCTGGAAAGGCACAAAGATGTCATTTCACAGATGAAAGAGGCTCAGAGAGAAAGTGAGTGACCCGCCTCCCCCCACCCCACCCCCCGCACCCCCCCCCCCTCCTCACCCAGGCAGCCTCAGGCTGCATCGTTCCAGGGTAAAGATCAAAGTAACCCTTCACTGACCAGGTGCCTCGCAGACTCTGGCTCCAGTCCCACAGCCTGTGAAGTAGGGGTTAACATTCTCAGAGAGTCAGAGGCACAGCCAGGCTGACTTGCCTGAGGGCGCTGGCTGGCTATGGCAGACAGACCACTAGACCAGGGCACGCTGCCTTCTCTGTGAGCCTACGGACAGGTCTCCCCCTTCATCTTCTAAACGCAGCCACCCGCTAAGTCAGGAACCTTCACACACTCCAGGAGGCCATCCTCTCCTGTCCTGTCCCAATTGTTCAGCCGCTCTGTCCTCCATCCCCAAGTTCAGAGTATGTCATGTCACAAAGGAAACAGCGCTGGCCCAAGCAGGTCTGATTTCAGGACACTATCAGGCTGCGAAGTGGCCCAGGAGCTGTGAGGTGGGCAGGGCAGGACCCGGGGTGACATTCCTGCTCCTCCCCACTGTGCCCAGGCATTTTTGTGGTTGCCACATCTTCCTGGGTGGGGGAATAACCAAGAGAGGAACCCAGCCGGGTCTTTACCTGGTCAGAACCCTCCTCCCTCGGAAAAGGAACCCTTTTGGTTCCCAGCTGAAGTGACTCCCACCAGGAGGCGCCTTGGGCCCCCGGGGGCTCCCCTTCTCGGGGGGACACAGAGGAGGGGGCGGGGCCCTTGTTTAATGGGGGGTGTTGGCGGGGAACCCCCTCCAGCCTTGGGTTTTGGCAGAAAGGGTTTTCAGAGCCAAGACCGGGATTTTAAAGAAAAAGTTTTTTTGGAAATTTACAAAAGGCCCCTGGGGGCTTGGGAAAAAGGGGGGGGTAATGCATGGGGGTGGGGGGGGGCCGTTCCCGGGGGGGGGGGAAAGTGAGGGAGAAAAGGCTCCTAAGTCCTTCATCTTGAGGGTTTTAAAGGCTGGGAGTTTAGGGGAGGCTCTCAATAGAATATTAATCAGCTTTATGCTGATGCACCAAAATGAGATTTATTCCCCTAACTTCACCTGTCCTTGGATGTGGTTGGTATAAATGGCAC